GGTGTGGCTAAAAAGATAGAAATATGAAATAAAGGTGGCCTTTATTCTAAGAATACAGAGAGAAAACTCCATGACCATGGAGGTCTGGCTATTTTTTTCTGTTGGACACATGGTGTGGGGGCATACATACAGCTTTGGTCTGTGGTAGTGCCTAAGAGCCATTACTGATGCACAAGTAGCCCCTTGGAATTCATTTTGCACCACAGGTAAATTGACTATGGGTGGGCAAGATGACCTTAAGATAGAGCCCCTTGGTTTTGCTTCCCAGCCTTGTGCTGCTGTAGCATCAAGGGAAAATTCTTTCAGTGAGCAGTTACTTTTCTATACATCCATTTTCATTGCATTTCAAGCATTTCATATATATTCTTTCCCACATTATCTTATTTTATACCCTAGTAGTGTTTCTAGTATTCAAGTACAAGAAGATAGTTTGGTATTCCTGAGCTATAGGGTTATAGCTTCCCTTTCCCCAATTTTCTTGTCTCCAGAATGGTCAAATCTTTATTTTCATTAAATTTTAGTAATTCATAAACCTTCTTTCATATTCAACTGAATATTTATCTGTGAGACCATTTTCTTTTTAAATTTTTTTTAAAATTTAAATAGGGTAAATTAAACAGAACAAAACAGATCATAGGGACAGAATTTAAGAAACACAGATTTCAAAGCAAGACCACCAGAGAGCTTCACTGTCTATCATAATGCCTGTTGTTTTCTTCCAAATAGTTGTCCATATCTTCACACACAGTGAATACATACTGAACAGTACAGTGCTAAGCTTGTGAGAACAGGATGATGAAGGCATTTTAGGTCTTCAAGACTAGACAATAAGGAAGTCAGCAATGGCTGCAATAATGTCTCTCATTCTCTTCCTAATAGCTGTCCATATTTTTATATATGTTCCAATTAAATAAAAGAAAACAGAGTAATATCACTCTGAACAGAGAATAATAGTATTGATAATTTTATATCATAATGATACAAAATTAGCACTGGGTATTTTATTGTCTCTTCTGAGTATCTGTTCATTACATTGTGCATTATATAACCTATTCTTGGAATCTGTTTAGAAGTTCTACACATGCATGAACTTCTACATGTATACCTCTCTTTTCTGTATTATAGGGAAAAACATCAAAAGAAGACAACAAAACAAATTCCTAGAAAAACATGAAATGAAAAAGACATATAAAACCACAATAATAGGTGATCTACAGTAGTTGCTATGATGTCTCTTGTTATTTTCAATAGAATTGTCCATATTATATCAATCATAATATAATTGAACATAGCACTACACAGCAATATTAATAAAAACACAACATTGGAGACATTGTAGGACTACAAAAACAGTTAATAATCAAACCAAATTGGTTACCCCATTGCATCTCATCATCTTCAGTGTAGTTGCCTGTACTCTCGACACAATCAAGCATACAAAATCCGACTCAAATCAGTGAAGACAAAACAGCAATCTAACAAAGCAGAATCAAATAACATCAGTCACAGGAAGACAATGTAAATAATATAGGGCTTCAATTTAAGTTAGTAGGAAATTAAGGATAGTTAACATAGTATATCCTGCTATTTTTGGGATAGCTGTCTGTGCCCTCAAATCTAGCCTGAGTAGACAGACTGGAACAGAATAAAATCAATCTAAACTGAGCAATAAGTCTAATGTGGCTTTTAAATCCTGATACACTAATAGTAGTGTTCGCTCCTTCTACTTTTTTTTTTTTTTTAGACAATTCCTCCCCTTTCCCTTTCTCAAGGTGCTTTGTACATTTTGGGTTCCACTAATTCATTTAGTTTTCAAATTAGCAGGGAAATCCATTATCTTCCCAAGTGGTGCTGGAACCTTTTTACCCCTGAGCTTGATCTTGAGTTGTATTCCTTTACCTACTAAAGCCTCAAGGTTTTCTTTCCTTATAGCTGAGTAGTTCTGCACTGCACAAAAGTGTCATGACTTTCTAACCTATCTGCAGCTGCTGGATGAGCTGTCCCTATTTCTCTCTGTTTCTTGTCACATAAAGCATCATTTTCTCACCTTTGACTTTCAGTTTATTAACCCTCTTTCAGGTTGAGTATATTTCCTATCCAGAGCATCTCAATGGACCCTATCTCCTGATCTACTCTGCCTGTGTTTCTTTTTGTTAGTGTATGAAAGCCATCTATGTTAGAGATTATAGCTAACCTTCTCGGCCTCATCTTTGCTATGCTATTTTTCTGCTATTGATTGTTTACTTTTCTCCTTCATTCCACTGTCTGTCCCATTCATTGAGGCCTCTCTGCCACTGTTGCTGGAATCCTGGTGTTTTTTTCTCTCAATGTAGAATGTTCTTCAGTATTTTTTGTAGTGTTGAATTGGTGGTCACAAACTCCCACAGTTTGGGTTAGAGGTTATTTTCTTTCAGGGCTTGGCATACTTCACTCCAAGCTCTTCTTGATTTGATCATTTGTGTCAAGAAATCTATCATGATTTTGATGGGTTTTTTCTTTATAGAAGATCTGTTTCTTTGATTACTTTTAACATTCTGTTCTTGTGATGAATTTCTGGGATCTTGATTATTATGTCTGGGTGTAAATCTCTTTTGGTTGTCTCTGGCTGGAGTTCTGTATACCTCATTTATCTGGATATCATTTCCTTTTTCTATGCTTGAGAAGTTTTCCTTAATTGTTTCTGTGAATAGCCTTCATAATTCTTTTGCCTTAACTCTTGCTTCTTCACTCACATTTTTTATTCTTAAGTATAGATCCTTTTGTTGTCTAGTCTAGCCTTTGTATTGTTACTTCCTGGTTCCTTGTTGATCTTAAGAGATCTTTTCTTTCATGATCACACATTGCAAATCTATCTTCAAGTTTTGAAAGTCTCATTTTAGTTTCTGTCAAGGAATTTTACCAGCTTTCAATGGAGTTTTTAATTTCCTGGTAATATCTTTGGATCTGTTTCATGTATTCTATATTTTGTTTATATTCTTCATCAAAGGTTTCTCTTCTTTTTCTGGGATCCTACATTCTTCCATCTGTGTTGTCTCAAGAGGTGCTTAGCATTTCTTTTTTTTTTTTTTTTTTTTTTTTGAATTTTTTTAAAATTTTATTTAAGGAGAAAAGAAAAAAAAAGCAGGGAAAGGGTACAAGTTATACAGATTTACAGAAAAAAAATGAACAGTAGGAAATCACAAGTTAATGGATTACATATTGTCATCTTAGAAATAATTGTTCAAGTCACAAAATTAAAGCTTGTAAAGTGGACATTCCATCAATGATACTGCAAACAGTTCTGTTCATTGATCCAATAAAACTCTGTGATATCAATCTCTATCTTATACACTTAAATATACATGCAGTTATATAGTTTGGAGCACTTTCTTTTCCTCTCTTTTGTACCATGACTATTACACATTTTGGGTTTCATTGCTCCCACGGTTCTTATTACTTTTTTGGAAGAGAGTAAAACCAAATGTGACATAACAGAACAGAATCGGTCAAGTCAAAAGGGTGGACATAATAGATAATGTAAAAACATAATACAAGGTGATCAACAATGGTTACCATAATGCCTCCCGCTATCTCTAATAGAATTGCCTATATCATTAGTTATAATACAATTGAACAAAACAGTAAAGAATAAAACCGACAAAACCAAAACATTGGAGACATTGTAGGTCTTCAAAAGTAGATAAAAGTCAATTAATCTTTTTATATCTTGCCTCACTTGAATTAGAATTTCAGTTTTAATATCATCTATGAGGTCACAAAAGTATTTCTTTATTTCCTCTGATATTGTATGATTGCTTCCCTCAATCTCTTCTGTATTTACCTCTCTTGACTTATTTTCCCTGGGTCAGTGGCTGGAGGCTTTTTCTTGTTTCTTTCTCTTGTCATGTTTCTAGTTTCTTTCAGCCAGGTGTGTGGTGGGGATCTCAGGCCCTTTCCATATTGCTTATGGTTTTTCTGAAGCATGCTGGCTAGGGGATTGCTGCCCTCTCCAGTTTTCTGTTGATCTGTGAGAAGCACACAGGGACAATGTGGGCTGGCCCCTCTCCTCTGAACCAGTCAACCAGAGAGTGCCTTCATCACGTTAGTCTGTGTCATGGGGACATCACAGGTTCAGCACAGTTTCCTCTCTGGCTATTGGGTCTTGAATGGGGATGTGACCCAGCCCAAGCAGATCTCATCCATCCTTTTAGGGCCAGGGGTGGGCTGACTTACACCACTGCAGTTCTGGGTTCAAGCCCATCATGAGCAACTCCAATGTCATCTAGCTGGTCACCCCATCCACAGGACCCAATTCCTAGCACTCACCACAGACATTTTCTGCTCTCCATTGCACCACATCCTCCTGCCAAGGGCCTTGGGCTCACCAACCCCCTTTTTGGTGGCCACAACTTCAGTGCGACCATGAGTCATATGATTCCATGGTGGACCCAGCACAGTGCAGAACTAGCCCCAGTGAGCATCTGGTTCCAGCCTTTTGTCCCATGTTTTTCCTTTCTTTTTTATTTTTCTTTTTCCTCAGTTTCTTCCTGGGTCATGAGAATCCCTCTCCTTTCATCTGGTCTTCTCCATGGTGTTAATTTCTAGCATCTGAGTTGTTTTTCTCAGAAAGGCTCTCTACCCTGCTACCATCAAGCTGCGATTGTCAGCAAGAATATAAATTCTGTCTTGAAAGAGAGATGAACTCAGTGCTATGAATAACCAGGTGTTTTGAGAATGGTGGTTTGCAGGCTGCCTCCTTGAGCTCTGTTTTAAAGTCAGTGAAAAACTACAGTATAGGTGTCCTGCAAGAAAAGCCATGCTACATTTCTATGATTGTTTTGGCAGTGTGTTATAGTCTAGCATCATTGTTACTGAGTGGCTAAATTTGACTGTACTTGAGTTTTGATGACCAGGATATGCAGTTAATACTTAAAAGAATGAACTTCAGTTAGACATTTTATTTGGGGAGCTGAGATACATTTGTTGTGTTTCTAACCTTCAGAGCACTTGTCATTATTTAGGAGATAGTGACCTTTGAGGATGTAGCTGTGAAGTTCACCCCAGATGAGTGGGATTTACTGACGCCATCACAAAAGAAGCTGTACAGAGGAGTGATGTGGGAAACATATATGAATATTATGGTGACAGGTAAGGATGATATGTTTTATTTATTTACACAAACAGCATTCATTATTGCTCAGCGATATAGTGTAATATATTTGATAATTATAATATTGGCTTATATATCTCAGGCCTGAGTATATTATACTATGAATCAGTGATATTTTAATGTAATGTTATAATGAATTTTTTATTTCTATGTCTGTAATACAGGAAGAATGTGGCATAACCTGCAAATTAAAGAAGAGGACAAATATTGTTCAAGAAATCTAAGGTGATTGAGACACATAAGAGAAAGGGAATATTTCTTAAGTGTCAGTTTTTGAGTATAAGTATTGCAATGAAGGAACTTGAAGAAAGAGATCATGTTCCACTTTATTTAACCTCAGAGAAATATCAAGAGAAACACTTGATTTTATTTTGTATTATCTGAGAGTCCATAGAAAAGATTTTGAATGTAGGAATCAGAGGTAGTGCTGATACTGTGTAACAAATAACACTATCTGATACATCAGTTTAAAAATTGCCTTCATGATCAACATCATGGAAATATATGAGAGTAAATTTAAATATTGTATTCTAATATGTAGGAAATTAAAGAAATTGTGAATTTTGATAGAAACTCATCTTTAAAATATCATTTGTATATATGTGAATAGAGACTTTCATGATCTAAAAAATTGTTCACATAGAATCAGTATTCAAAATGGAAATGAATGCTACAGTTTATAATAAGTACTTTGAAAATATCCTATAGAATGTTCATCTTTTCATGTTTAAATTTCTTCATACATTGTTGATGGATACATAAAATAGAAACATGGTAATGAGTATTCAGTGGTCTGAGAAGTAAAATAGTGTTTCATATTGTTTCACATCTACATCCATCGGTATACACTTTTGTTTTTTACTTTTGTGCCATGATTTTATACTGTACTTCACATTGACTTTGAACTTACTGTGTAGCCCATACTGGCCTGAAACTCAGAGGTATCCTCCTGCCTCTACCTCCTGACTGTTGAGTGAGTTGTACTGTGTCATTATGTGCAAGGATTCTCTTACTATATTGTCAGATACATTAAGATCATCAAATGTGTTGTTCAATGCAGCACATGAGAGGTCATTCACAATATTTGATACATGAATCAACCCACAGTAGCTAAGCTATGGAAAGAGCCCAGATGCCCATCACGGGTTTCCAAGGTAAAGAAAATATAGAGTCAGCTCATCATAGTGGTGCATCCTTGTAATCCCAGCACTCTGGGAGGCTGAATCAGAATGCCCACCTGATGCTCAGGCTGAGCAAGTTCATGATCAATAGGAATCTCAAAAAAAACCAACAAATAATAGTTCAGCAAATTTAATTCAATTCAAGACCTGTGTTTAACTCTACACAGAAAATAATATGCCAAAGAAGGAACCATGATATCATTTCCCAAGAAACAGAAAGAGTTGGATTTTACGTGAAGTAAATCAGACAGAAATGGAAATATTACAGGTTTCTTCTTAAATGGAAAGTTAATAGCATATTTGAGGAGTAAAAGTAGAGAGAGATAATATGAGACCAGAAACTCTTACATTCTGTAGATGAGAAAGATGATCAGACTAAATAGATGATGGGGAGAATAAAGACATGAGGAGCTAAAAAAAAGATCAATATTTGACAGTCATTTGTACCAAACCTAAAATGATATTATGTATTAGAATCTTATACCAATTTAAAATTCTAAAATGCAAACCAACATCCTTAGAATGAATAGAACTTTGAAAGAAGTACTGTAGGGCAGTGAGTCAGTTAACCATAAGAATTACTTAGCAGGCATGAAACCAAACTAGTCATCATAAACCTCAGTTGTTAATGAGGAGCTCTTTCCATTGTGACTGATATCTTTCTTTGACTTCTTTACAGATATGATGAAGACAATTATTTGAGAATTGAAAAGCAGCAATGTAAATGTAATGAAGATATAGAGACCTGCAGTGATTTCCAGTCCGTTCAGAAGCCATGTGGAAAAGCATTCAGTACAGTCAGTAGCTGTCAAAGACATAAAAACATTCACACTGGGGAGAAGCCCTGTGTATACAACAAATGTGGGAAAGCATTCATCAGTGTGTCACAATGTCAAAAACATGACAGAATTCACACTATGAAGAAACCCCTTGTATGTAATCAATGTGGAAAGTCTTTCAAGCAAAAGCGTTCTCTTATTATACATGAAAGTCTTCATACTGGGGAGAGACCCTATGTATGCAACAAATGTGGGAAAGCATTCAGTACAGCCTCTAGCTGTAAAGCACATGATAGAACTCACACTGAGGAGAAACACTTTAGATGTAGGCAATGTGGGAAATGTTTCAATCGAAAGGATAACCTTATTAATCATGAAAGAGTTCACACAGGCGAGAAACCCTATGTATGCAACAAATGTGGGAAAGCATTCAGTACAGCCTCTGGCTGTAAGGCACATGAAAGAATTCACAGTGGGGAGAAACCCTTTGTATGTAAGCATTGTGGGAAATCTTTCAATCGAAAGGATAACCTTAGTAATCATGAAAGAGTTCACACAGGGGAAAAACCCTATGTATGCAACAAATGCGGGAAAGTATTCAGGAGTGCATCACAATGTAAAATACATGATAGAATTCACACTGGGGAGGAATGCTATGTATGCAACAAATGTGGGAAAGCATTCATCAGTGCTTCACAATGTCAAAAACATGACAGAGTTCACACTGAGGAGAAACCTGTATGTAAGCAGTGTGGGAAATCTTTCAACCGAAAGTATAACCTTATAAATCATGAAAGAAGTCACACTAGGGAGAAACCCTATGTATGCAACAAATGTGGGAAAGCATTCATCAGTGTGTCACAATGTCAAAAACATGATAGGATTCACACTATGAAGAAACCCCTTGTATGTAATCAATGTGGAAAGTCTTTCAAGCAAAAGCGTTCTCTTATTATACATGAAAGTCTTCATACTGGGGAGAGACCCTATGTATGCAACAAATGTGGGAAAGCATTCAGTACAGCCTCTAGGTGTAAATCACATGATAGAATTCACACTGGCGAGAAACCATTTGTATGTAAGCAATGTGGGAAATCTTTCAGTCAAAATAGTGACCTTATTACACATGAAAGAATTCACACTAGGGAGAAACCTTTTGTTTGTAAGCAATGTGGGAAATCTTTCAGTCAAAATGGTAACCTTATTATACATGAAAGAATTCACACTGGGGAGAAACCATTTGTATGTAAGCAGTGTGGGAAATCTTTCAACCGAAAGAATGATCTTATTAAACATGAAAGAATTCACACAGGGGAGAAACCCTATGTATGCAACAAATGTGGGAAAGCATTCAACAGTTCATCACAACATAAAGTACATTATAGAATTCACACTGGGGAGAAACCCTTTGTATGTAAGCAGTGTGGGAAATCTTTCAGCCAAAAGTGTGCTCTTACTATACATGAAAGACTTCATACTGGGGAGAAACCCTATGTATGCAACAAATGTGGGAAAGCATTCAGTACAGCCTCTAGCTATAAAGCACATGATAGAACTCACACTGGGGAGAAACCATATGTTTGTAATCAATGTGGGAAATCTTTCAGTCGAAATGGTAAGCTTATTATACATGAAAGAATTCACACTGGGGAGAAACCATTTGTATGTAAGCAGTGTGGGAAATCTTTCAACCAAAAGGATGGTCTTATTAAACATGAAAGAATTCACACAGGGGAGAAACCCTGTATGTAAGCATTGCATGCAACAAATGTGGGAAAGCATTCAGTACAGCCTCTAGCTGTAAAGCACATGATAGAATTCACACTGGGGAGAAACCATATGTTTGTAATCAATGTGGGAAATCTTTCAGTCGTAATGGTAAGCTTATTATACATGAAAGAATTCATATTAGGGTGAAACCCTTTGTATGTAAGCAATATTTAAAATGTTTCAGTCAAAATGTTATCCTTAGTGTTGATGAAAGAACTCACACTGGGTAGAACCTCTACGGATACAACCAATATGGTAAAGCATTCAGTATGCAGAGGTGCTAAAATAAACCCTATCTATGTAAGCAATTTTACATGTCTTTCAGCTATAGTAGTAGCTTTTGTGTATATAAAAGAATTTACTCTAGAAAAACTCTGCTAGTATGAGAAATGAGTAAGTGGATTTGTTGATAAATTTGCAGGTCATAAACATAAAAGATCCCACACTGGAGAAAAATATCCTATGAGCATAAGGAATGTACGAAAACTTTCCACAACTGGAGAGATTGTCACTACAGGAAAGAACTCCCACTGTGTAGTAATTCTAAGCATTTCAAAAATGGTTGATAGCATTTTATGCACAAAAATGCCATTGAATAGGGGAATAATGCACACAAGGAAGAGACCCTATGTTTGTAGCAGTGTGGAAAAGATATGCTTCAGTTTTTCCCTTCTCCAAACATAAGATTCCTTCATACTATGGAGTAACTGAACGTAAGAAATATTTGGGAAAATGTTCAACTTACAGAGGTGCTAACCTGAGTGATGTCATATTATGGCCCTGGCCTATGTATATCATGGAAAGTTTTCAGTATACATGATTATTGTCAAACATGTGAAAATAATCACGATTAAGTGAGACCATACATAAGTGACTATATTGAAAATAATTTGAAAATTACTCATGGAGAGGAGAACTGTAAAAATAATATAAATTTATTGCTGTAAATATATGCTCATAGATTTTTTTCTGAAAACACCCTCAACACAGTTACCCAAAAATGTTTTTTATAAATTATATATAAATATCTGATCTATTTTTTGTAGTCTTAATAAAAAATACAGTGTTTCAAGAACATTTAAGTTTGCAGAAACTTTTTTCCCATGGTTTGGATCCACCAATGTCCTGTCTTGTTAGATGACACCCAGTTATCTCATGACCATTTTTTTCCACCACAGTCTGTAACTCTTATATCAGTTTACCCAAAATGATATATACATTCATATTCAAAAATGTGGTTGTATTCATGGCCTGTATCTATGTAGCCATGTGGTAAGATATACCATCACAAAAGCTAAAGCAGACTCAGTCACTGTTAGAATGAACTTAAATTAGGGAAAAATCTTATGTATGCCACAAATGTGCAAAAATGTTCAGTACACAGGTTCTAAAATACATTATAGAACTCTCAATAGGGAGAAACTCTGCAGATAAATAATGTACAGAATCTCAGTCAATATTGTAACCTTGTCCATAAAATACTTCACACTTGGGCAAAACTTTTTGTAAGACATTAAGACAGCTCTGCTGATAATCCACATTTTCTAGAAATAGAACATCTCACACATAGAGAAACCTTATGTATATAAGCAATGTGGAAATCTAGCAGCCAAATCCATAGCTTGCAAATGCATCAAGGAATTCACAATGGGAAGAAACTGTAGATAAGCAATTTGGGAAAACATTCAGTACACGTAATCACTGACAAACATATGAAAGAACCCACAATAGGGAAAATCTGTGTGAATGCAAGCAATGCAACAAATGTTTCCACCACTAGTGATTGTAATGACATGAAAGAATTCACACAAGGAAGTAACTATGCATTCCAACAATGGAGAAAGCATTTAGTGCAAAATAATGCCATCACGTAAAGAAATAATGCACACAAGGGAGAAACCCCATGTAAGTAGTCTGTGAGAAAGAGTTCTGGCAAATTTTTCATTTTATAAACGCTGAATTTCCCACACACTGGGGAGTAACTGGGTGAAAAAGATGTACTGTGTAAAAGTTTCCACCGACAGAGATGCTCACCTCCAAAATGACATCACATTGTGGCCAAAGCCTATGTGTGCCATGTGAGAAAGCACTCAATATATTTGAGTATAGTCAAATACATGGAAGTCAGCACTGTGAAGAGAAATTGTACATATGTAAGTGACTAATTTGAAAATACTTTGCAAATTATTCATGTAGTTGAGACCTGTAGAAATACCATAAAAATTGATGTCTATATATATTCATAGATTTTCCAGCAATCACATTTGAAGAAGAAGATATCCCAAAGCATATTCATTTTGTGTTCTGGTGTCACACATAACTAGCTGACCTATTTGTCCATAGTCTTACGATGAAAACAAATCACACTGTTAAAAGATAATTCATGGATTCTGAAGAATTTTCCCCACATTTTGGATCCACTGATACCATCTTGATAGATGATTCCTATTTTTCTCACAAACATTCTTCTCCACTTCCATCTGTGTCAAATTATTTTTTTAGAAGGATCTGCACAAACACATTCAGAAATGTCCTTCACCAGGTTTTATGACATATATGCTTGTACGTATGCTTATGATAAGATAATCACAAAAGCAAAGCAATTTTGAAATATGTGTAATTGCATTCATGCCTGTTTCTAGTATATAATTTAACTATTCATCTTTGGAAGGCATCAGTGTGTATAATAGTTCTGAGTTTGTTATTGTTGCCTTATCATCCTCTATTTATTTTCTTGCTCTATTTCTTGCTCCTCTCAATTTTTGCTTGTACTGCCTACACATCATGCACTTTTATACAAATTTAAACTCCATCCCTCTTGTATTAAGTCAGTCATTTATGAATAGCAGAATCCTGAATATGCAAGTGAATCAGGATTTAACACAAGTTCCTAGGATTAAAAGGAAAATGCATGCACTATGATTCCCAGAACAGGAATGGTGAATGATGGAAATGATGTCATATCATGACACCAGAAAGACATAGTGGCCAGTGTGCAACAAATAAGGTGATAATCACAAATATGTGAATTAAATGCATAAGAATCATAGAATTAGATTTTTTGGTCTGAAACAATCTTGCTATGACGTTCAGTCTGGTCTTGGGCGCGCTATTTAGTCTAGACTGATCTTGGGCTCACTTTTTAGTCTAGGCTGATCTTAGGGTCACTTTGTAGTTCAGGCTGATCTTGAAACTTGCCTCAATCCTCCTGCCTTAGCCTTCCAAGTCCTTCCTACAAACTAATGCCTAGTTTGTAGCATTAGATTTACCTAGCCAAAAATTTCATGGAGGGATGGTAGTACACCACTTTTCCCCCTCACTGTCCAGTCTTTGGAGCATGGCACTGCTAAACTCTCATAGTCTCCCTTTAGGCATATGTTCCACAGTGGTATTTTAGTGGCATTTTAAGAGATTAAAATAAAATTCAGAAATGAAAGATGACAAAGTCTGAATCATGTTCCATTTTCAGTAGCATAAATAAATCTAATGTCACTTGGATCCATCATGCATCTCAGTTTCCTTCATCAGGGTATTGTCACATGATGTTGCAAGCTGACAACAAGGTTAAGTGCAAGGCAGGATGAGATAGGAAGAAAGAGAGACAACACATTCACAGGATGCTGATTAAACCGTGGTTATTATGCCAATGTCTGTGTTTAGTACCTTTGTAATTGTTTATTCATATACAGTGTCCTGTCCTTTTCCTGCTTCAACTTCAGCCTCATGCAAAGTGGCACCCATTCAGCAAATTCTCCGGCAGCTCTGTGTCTTGACATTCTTCATGGTGACTTCATTAGTGCATGTGGAGTCTACAGGCTCATCTGCAGTTTCGACACAGAAAAGTATTTTCCTTATCCCAAGTCTCTCTTTTGTCTCAAGGTCAATCCTGATTGTCCTGCATTTACTGAATATTTTGGAAACAAAATGTTAAGTTCATTACCTGAATACACAACGAAACATTTTTAAGGTAGGAATTAAATTTCCATTTTCGAGACCATATTCCACATGGACAACATTTGTGGCTGGGTTTCCAGAGAATCCACATTCTCCACAGGCTGTTTCCATCTCTGAGTTAATCTGTGCCATGGAGTGCTTTTTAATCTTGTTTCACAAATGTCAATCCTGACTGAGGTTGAACATGATTCAATGGAAATAATACAGAAATTTGGGGATACCCTGAATGTGTTCTGTACCAGCTTCTCAAACATAGGCAAAAATAAGCACAAAAGAAAAACAGAATAGTGTAGGTCATAGGGATGATGGAGCATCCTCCCAAGGTCCTCCGAGGTCAGCCTGTCCTAGGGTGAAAATAAAGTGTGAGTCTTGACCTGACTCAGGATGACAGGAGATCAAAGACCCTAAACATGAAGATCCAATGGGAATTTAGGGGATAATCTGTTGATATCAATCCTCCAATCATTTTATTTACAAACAGTAGAATTTTGGCCAAAAAAAAAAAAATTCTGGCTTTATAGAACCTGGATGTGTGTGTGTGTGTGTGTGTGTGTGTGTGAGAGAGAGAGAGAGAGAGAGAGAGAGAGAGAGAGAACTTAAAGGAGTTTGTGTTCATTTAATTCTAATGGGGAAAGATTTCTTTTTCCCTGGCCTGTTTCTCCAATCCAAAAACACAAAAACAACTGGAGTTTTTAATCCTTGCTAGATAGATAGTGCATGACAATGTTATGATAATGAATACAACTTTCCACATATATAGAGTCTCAAAATGATATTATAAGTTCATGTAAATTACACAGAATATTGGATTGCATTTTGGTTTACTGCAACCTGCATATAATATACATTGTTTTTTATGGAAGTTACATTATTATTATTATTTTTACAATGGAGATATACTTAATATTCACATTCATCACAGGTAAATTGTATGTGTGCATGATATCTTGATTCCTATTTTGTCATTCCCCTTTTGCTCTCTACAGTCCCTCTTCCCCTTATTTTCAATGATTTTTCCATCTTTTCTCATTTTTCCCCTTCTTTCCTTTCACACTAGCCTTCCCTAGTTCTCCTTTGTTTTTGAACAACTGCCTTCTATTTCATTATATCTATTATGCATTTGCTTTATGTTTATAATTTCAAATCTTCCCACCAAGGAGACAACGCAATGTTTATACAAGTTTTGGTCATTTATTTCACTGAAGGAGATTGTGAGGGTCCATCATTTTACCTCTT